CAAGATCTCTCAAAAGACACTATCAATAGAAGCCAAGAACCATGTTAAACTTCGCTTTCTCGTGCATGCGGACATTGATTTCTCCCTCCTCCCGCCGCATTTTACCAATCTTTTTTTTTACTTTCTTATTATTTATATATACTTTATATATATAGTTTTTTATGTTGACATAAATGCCATCAACAAAAAAATCCACTTAGTTTTTTTTTTTAATTGGTAACTAAAAAATGTCAGCGTAAACCTGTAACACCTGAACTTAACATAATTGAAATACAAATACTAGTGTCGTAGGCAGTGCAAATAAATTAGAGCGACCCCCTCTCATTATTAGGAAGGTGGATACGCGGCCTCTAAAACGCCGAGAACTAATGGACACAAAAACGAAATAACAAATATGTAGAAACCTTTGAAAAAATAAAGAAAAAGAAACGTGCTTTTGCGGACGTATTTAGGTAATCAAAATCACAAAGGGCGTATCCGGAAGGCTATGGGAAGGAAAATGTGAGACTAAGAACAAAATCGACTGAAGGCAAGCTTAATAAACAGACGGGTTGGTTAACGTTCCACATTTTTCTAACCGGAGACGATGGACCACAAGGAGACAAGGGATAAATAGACACATCTCAACCGCACCTCAATTGATTTTATTCACAGATCATGTTGGAGATCGAACTGATTTTATTCACTTCTCATAGATTTTAATGAGTAGCTATAATTCACAAAGCATTGTGGACGAGGTCATGTGAGTGGGTGGCACATGAAAGATGATGCGAGAGTAAAACATATATTTAGCTGCGTTTGCGACGTGTATTGTTTTCTCGCTTGTTTCTTTGTCTTCCGCCGTCACCGGTTAGAATCATGTGTAAAAATGGATTGAGCTTGAATTGATTACGCTGTTAGAAATTATAGCTTGTAACACAGTGCTTCTCACGTGGTCGAAACCTATGCAAGTTTGGGTCAACAAACATTGTATTATCGATGTAAATTAAAAACAACAATGCTATCGGCGTGAGCGAGGCACTCAGGCCGACAACACTGTTAACTGTGTCTTTGTCTGTTGAATCTCTTAAAGTACCGACTGGTGACGATCGGTAAAAATTCGCAGTCTACCACCGCGCCTTTCATGCGAATCGAATATACGCTGCTCTTTCTCGTTAATCAACGCCGTAAATCTCCACATGTTGTTTTAAAGATCTCTGCCCTTTCAACATAAAACAAGTTACGGGGCTTGTTTTTATGAGACGAGTGTAACGTTACGAAAGAGCGTCTCAAAATCTTTCCCACGGCCGCTAGATTTGGTGGCCAATGTCTTGCCTGCCAAATGTAACACACTTTTATGCTAAAAAACAATAATAAGAAAAAAAACTTTTTTAATAAATATTTTAAGCAGATCAAGAGCCGACGCACATGCTGTGCCTCCCGACATTATTCGCATACGATTCAGACACATTTTAAGTTTTGCTTAATGGTTTGAGATGAAAATCGACTGATACTTTCTTTCTGAAGGATGGAGATCGTCAGTACAATCAACGTAATTAATTTCTGATTTGTTTAGCAACACACAACTGAAAATTACTATATATGCAAAAATAGGCTCATTGAAGAAATAAGCAGTCCTGCGTCAATCTACATTAAGGCAACAGCGATAGCTGCGGCATCTTATCCAACCCTAACATTCCTTCATGTATCTTGCACGTAGGTTTCGTGCACTTTAGGTAGAGAAACCATCGTCAATGTCTGCTCCCCCCCCCCCCCCCCAGAGAGTGACACCCTTCTCTATAACTGTAATACGATCTAGATTGATGATGCCTTGCACTTGTTTATTTATTTTGATATTTATTTACTTATCTCAATACCCTAAGGGCCCTCAGGAAATTACAGAGGTCCGGGACATACAAAACCGTACTCCTCCGGGGGGTGTCACCTGACCGCGGGGGGAAGGGGGTCACGTGACCTCGGGGGGAGGGGGTCGCGTGACCTCGCGGTTACGCCAACGGCGATGGCGACGGCGACGCCGCTCAAGCCGGAAACGGGCCCCTAAGAGCTGCGCTCTAAAAAGAATGCACACAATTTTAGAGCGCAGCCCTTAGGCACCCGTTTCCGGCTTGAGCGGCGTCGCCGTGAGCGTAACCGCGCGGTGCATTATGGGTAAATTTCCCCGCAAAATCTAGCAGAAAAATTTCCCCGCTAAATCTAGTGGAAAAATTTCCCCGCTGAATATAGCGGGAAAATTTTCCCACTAAATCTAGCGGGAAAATTTCCCCGCTAAATCTAGCGGAAAAATTTCTCTGGGGAGTCACGTGACCCCCCCAAGGTCACGTGACACCCCAAGGTCACGTGACCCCTCCCTCGAAGGTCACATGACCCCCTCCCCGAGAACACGTGACCCTCAGTACCCTTCCCTCCTCTTCCTCAAGAGCTGCGCTCTAATTCGGCATTACAGGGAGTTGCAAACGGCTTTCATTTTAGAGCGCAGCTCTTAGGCGCCCGTTTCCGGCTTGAGCGGCGTCGGCGTCGCCGTCGGCGTAACCGCGCAGTACATCGTGGGACGCGTGACGTCACTGATGACGTCCTCATCATCGTCACTAATGACGTCATCGACATCCGCATCGTCATCGCCACTAATGACGTCATCGTCATCGTCACTGCTAACGTCACTGATGCATCGTCACGTGACCTCATAGGGGTCACGTGACCCCCGTGAGGTCACGCGACTCGGTTACGTCACGTGAAACCCGTGAGGTCACGTGACCCTCGTGAGGCGACGGCAAAGCCGCTTGGAGGGAGGAGTAGCAGACAGGATGAGGATGTGAGGAGGAGGGAGGAAGGATATACCTTCCCCTCCGTACCCTTCCCCTTCTCCTCAAGAGCTGCGCTCTAATTCGGCGTTACACGGAGTTGTAAATGGCTTTCATTTTTTTTATACAAATTAATTAGTCCGGCTGTGTTAGCAAAAGTGGGCGACGTACATTTTGAGTTATTAACTTTTGCCTGCCTCCTCCTTTTCTGCGTCCTCTCCACGTTTCACCCTGCCCCAACTTGGCTCCCATCGGTGCTTAGGAGAAGAGAACGCTAAGAGGATGATCTTCCCTGCAGAAAACCGAGATTGTACGTCGGCCTTTAACGCCTCTTTAAACAGTTCTACGTATGGTATGTTTACCAGAGGTGCTGGTAGGCGGTTCAAACCAGATGGCGTTCTTGGTATGACGGAGTCGATATGTGCGGACGCTTGACAGTGAGGTATGAGACTCGAGAATTATGATCAACTCGTAGAGAAATCTATGGGGGGTTATGGAATAATTTAGTTTGTAGTGAAACTTTCGGATGATGAATTTTGTTGAAATGGCATAAACGAGAAATTTTACGACGTAACGAAACGAGAGGAAGGGATGAGGAGGTTTGCATGGACGAGACACTAGATGTGCGATGATAGTTCCAACATATAAATTTTGATGACATTAAGCAACGTCATAACGTCATGTCATCATTTTCATAGATTTTCTCGAAAATTATTCTTCCTCAGAATGGTTTGTATCGAAGTCCTATGAGAATTCAATAGTAATTTGTTTTCTACAAGAATTCAATAGACTTTCACGTGAAATCATGACGTCACTCATGACACCACGATGTTACGTGACACCGGACATTTCTTTCGAAGTGGAAGGGGAGGGAGGGGGGGGGGGGGGGGGGGACCCATAACAACTGTAACGCTGTAAAAGGTAGCGCTTTTCGAAAACAAACCGCAAAAGGTCAAAAAGAGACGCTAAGCCGGCAACGACCTTCCTCTCGGCCGCGCAAAACGGAAAAGTTCGGCAAACGCGTGTTAAACACCGGACGCCGCGGGGTGTTGCGTAAATTTGATCCCTGCCAATGACCAGGCAGGGACTCAGCCAACGACCTTTCCGGCTTTTCACGAACTGTTCACCTCAGCGCGAATCGTGCTCGAAAGCCACTTCACGGCTCCTTGATTCTTAGAACGCCTTGCGTCCGCCTTACGCAATTATGTTTGTAGAAAACAAAAATGTGACTTTAAATGGAATATAACATCGAGCACAATATCCGCTACGCCTTCTCTCGATACGGCGTCCAAAGCCATAAAGATGGCGGGATCGTTGAAAGTCGTTACACCCACTTGAAGAATTTCTTTTTTTTTTCTTTCTAAAAATTGGCGGTGTCTAAATTTGAACTCCTTCAACATCCTTAGCGCGTCTTAAAGAAAAAAAAAAGAAACGTTGATGTCTAAACGATATTGAGACATATTTGAGAATGGAGTTATTAAACGCGCACTTTAATGTCTACGAATGCTCTTCATCATCCGAACGTTTATTGAATTTCCTCGAAGTGTTTATTTCCTCCGAAGCGGACGTCGTTTAGATTAGACCGATTACATTTATGATTTGTAGTATTAAGTAGTCATAAAGACGACTCATATCTGGGGGACAGCTTTGAATGTGCGTAAGCGTAAACATAAAAATTAAAGAAACAAAAAAAAGCTCTCGAACCAGTTAGAGCGTGCAAACCACTTTTGCCTCGCGTTTTGAATTGCTTTTGTTTGGTTTTGCAGGAAGGGATAAAATTGGCTTAAAGGATAGTTCCAATACAACTTTTAAAAGATATGTCTGATAACCAGCATGCTCTTAGCGATGCTATATATAGATATATAGATATATCTCTTTAAAGTCAGCAATACTCTGCTTGTGCTGTGTTGCATACGATCACGTTTCGCGGATGGAGGGTGAAGGAAAGGGGGGAGGGGGGGCAATTCGCGGCTCCACTAACTGTTGAGCTTCGTATGCCCGTCCTCTCGATCGCCACACGTTCTAGCGGCAGCATCTCAGATGAGGTTTCGGGTGAGGCAAAGGGGTTTCGGGGGAGAAGGGGGAAAGAAGAACGGAAAATAGAGAAAGGAGGAAAGGGAGGTGAGGGAGGGCGACCGAGACCTGCGCGCATGCTCACATGGTGCCGTCCCACGCAGCCAATGAAAAGCGCGCCTTATTAGAGGGCAGCCGCGAGAAGCGCCAGACCGCCGTTCGCATCAGCCGCGGTGTGAGACGGTTTCAAGAATTGGGAATTTTTCTCGCTCTCATACCGTGCGGCTCGCCCACCCGACAGTGCGAGATATATCAACACTTTCCCTTCCTCTTCTCCCCTCCGCGAAAGAAGACAAACAAAACGAAGAATATACACGGAACCAGAACGAAGCGACTTTTCCACGGCGGGTCTGCTACCAGCGCAAGGTTTGAGCGCCCAAGAACCGGAACAAGCAACGGGTGGTCGGACACTCGACTCATCGGCAACTCGGCCGTCGACGTTTTTGTGTGAACTGTCGCTTCGTCGCCTCTCCCAGGAAGTCGGTTGTCAGTCAGGTGAGCTGTGAAAGCCATCTCTTTTTTTTTTTCTTCTTTTTTCCTGTGATCTTGCAAATTAGGGGAGAGGTAGGGACCGGTTTGGCACGGAACGACAACTTTATATTTAAGTCGAGTTTAAACAAAAAGAACCCGTGTTTGGTTCGGCGAGTGAATATGCTACGAACTTTGGGGACAATATGTTAAAAATAGTTGAGAAGTTTGTAAATATTATTTTGTTGTGTTTTTTTTTTTCATACAAATTTGCAAAGAAAGTAAGCGAAAATTAAGTTTTGCACGCTGTTTGACCTCAGTTTTGCACTTTGTATCTGTTTTCCTTGTCAACTGGAAGTAACAAATATAAAATGGAGGCTACGTAACTTCAATTGAAAAACGGACGGAACTTAAAACGGCGCGTGTTTCAACTCTGCGAAGCTCCTTTTTTGCCTATAGAAAACGTACGCGAAGCGTTAACGTTTTGTTGATGTTTTATGTTTTTTTTTTTAAGAATAGTTGGCTTACAACTAATCGCGCTGTTTGCGTAAAGCTAGTAGTTTAGGCTATCGACACTAAATGATGCTTTCCGGTTCTTTTTAGCTTTGGAACGTCTTAGTAATCATGGAATTAAGTCAAGACTTACCTCTACCGCGATAAAAAAAAAAAGTTTGAGTTTGTTTTTTATAATTAAGACACAAACCAATGTTGGTGCCTGCAGATGCTGCATCACGACTGAAAAAAAAAAAAGAATGACCCAATTTGATTGCCAAAACACAATCTCGCCGAATTCCCTTGTTTTCTCGGCTGCTCTCCGGGAATAGTTGCTCCGGTACTATCACCCCTCCTAAAAAAGTTGTGAGATTACCGTTTTTTCGTTCTTTCTTTTTTTAACGTGCACAATAGTTTACTGAAGTGTCAGTAAGTAGATTTTATGATCATACTTCTATGTTTTAAAACATATACAATTCTACTTCTTCTAAAGGAGAATAAGAAATGTTTTGAGGAAAAAACGGGACAAGTGTTTGCCCTATATGCTGCTTGCCTCAAGTGTGATGAATGTTACATTATTGTGCCAGAGCAAGTGTTTAACGCTGTTTTTTTTCTGAACAAGCAAGTTTTTCATCTGGTTTTATGTTCATTTTTGTGTTAAAGCTTGTAAAAAAAAAAAAGAACATTACAGTAACCTAAATTTAGGAGACAATAGAGAACGAACTTCTCAAACGTCTGATAATTTTGGGGTAATTTCCAGGTACTCGGTGAATACATAAAAACGTATATTCGCACTAACAGTGGCACGTGGGACAAATACTGCTTTAAACACTAAATCGTTCATTTAAATTTAAAAGCAACGTAACCTTGAACACTGCGTAGAACGCTGCTGAAAACATACCATTGACGCGTGGGATTGCCATCTTTAAAATCTCGACAGTGCGCTCTACTTAACAAACAATCGCAGCGGAACCAAGATATATAAGAGAGAATTCCTTCATGTTTTCAACTCGCATGAACATCAAGTAAAAATTGCACTGCGCCGAAAAAGACGCCAGTTACTTCAAAAGATTGCTAAAACTTTATGCCAATTTTTTTTTTTTTTGTGAACTCAAGTCTGTTAAAAGCCGAGGCGCATGACGACTTCTCACTGTTTTGTCATCGCAGTTTAACAACTTACCTGCAATTTGCAGCCTAAAAATATAAAAATATATATATAAAAGAGCACGGGAAATTATTTCATTTCCTTTATTTTTACTCGGGGCTCAAAGAAACTACTGAGAAGAGTGAGATTAACACAAAAATATACGAGTGTATCAACGAATAAGGCATAACTAGGAACAATGTCTGAGGAACAAAAAAAAAAGTAATGAAAAATTTAAAATCACCAGCATCAGTTCTTGAGACTCCGGGCACGGGAAGACGATTGAAACTGTGGAGTGAAAATAAAACACATAAAACTTGCTGCTCTAATTGAATGGCGAGCAAATCTGTGTGATTGAAATCTGCCCTTCGGTTTTGTGGCTGCCTATTGTGACAGACAGGAGTAGAACGACAGGGAGACCTCTCGTAAGCTTCAAACATCCGCACGCGTTTTGAAGGTGAACGTGGAAGGGGCGTGCTAGACAAACGGAAATGCGAGAGAACCACGCGGTCGTTCTCATACTTGCCGTGACAATAAAAGAAATAAAACATATAATGAACACTGCTCGGCAATATAAAAAATACACACTTTTAAAAACCTTCCACACGCCTCATTTTCAGCATATCCTATGACAAAAGATCATGTTTTGTGTGTGTGTTTTTGTATGGGGATGTTGTACCGATGTAAATTTATCGGGTCGCCCAGAATGTTGCTAAATGTGGCAACGTCGATCGGTGTAAGAAGCACTTTTGCCTTGCAGGGTGACCAGTTCACGAGAGATTGCGGTGATAGGGGATCCGCAATATGATAGAGCCGACTTCGCGATATTTCTGCCTGTTGCTAAGCTCTACAGAGGAACGCCCGGGAACTACACCGTATTTACTCGATAGCATTCAGCACCCCTAATAGTTACTCACGAATATAAAAAGAACAATGGTTGCAGGGTAGAGTTCAAGTTGTTTCACCGTTAGCGTGAGCTTCCTGCCCTTGATGGCGCTTCGGTATCTCGGGGGCTTTGAGCTTGCTACGCACTGCTAAAGCACGGCAAAACGTGTCGAGCGCCTGCTGGAGACCGGACGTTTGTAAGAAACGCACTGGAGTTCCGCTCGACGAGTGCGGAGGAAACAAATGCAGCTAGCTTCCCGTCTACCCACAGATCATTCCAACTCGGTGTTCTGACGTCAACGCTCGCTATCGTCAAAAGCCCTCCCTCAGTTTGTGTCTGCATAGAGCAAAAAAGTTGAATGCAGCGGCTGTCTTCTCATGCAGCTCGCGAAAGGCTCGCGGCCGACAAAAGTGTCCTTGCAAATCTGGGGGCGCTATTTGTTGCACTCGCATGAAAATGGAGCCTCAATCGGTTTTTGAACACACAAAGCCGATTATTTCTGCAGCGTAGGAGGAACTTTTGTATTTTTAGACTTCCCGCATATCTTGTCAAGATTCGTTCTCACGTGTTCGGCGTAATGTTGGACCGATCTACCCTATTTTAAATAGTGTGAGCTGTAAGCTCAATTAAGTGCGGAATGCTTGTTTTAATACGTCTTTAGATATTGTCACACGAGGACTAGCCTGCGAAAAGATGCGTAGTTCGGTGATATAAAAGAAAAAAAACTTTTTTGTAGCAACGTTTTTTTATACAGTTTTGCACAAAAATTAAATTGGCTGAAACGTTACAGCATATATCGCGTAGTATTAATAAAATAAAACATTTTTTGTTTATTAAAATGTGTCCTCTTTCCGGTATACCAGGTTATATACGAAGAACAGGAGGAGACTATTATACGCCTGTGCATTTTCCTGTTTGTCTTTTACGGCAGTAAGAAACTACATCTCGTCCGACGACATATGTCTCAAGGAGATTCGCGAATTTTTTCGGGAAATGTGCTGGTAAGTGGTTGAAACCAAACTTTCGTTCACATTTTTTCTTGTTTCACAAGATTTTACATTTTTTGTTAGGTAGACGCAGTGGAATGACTACATTATTTTCTTCCGGCGGTCACAAGCTCATTTTACGTACTGCTATTTTAGTTGATTAGGCTAGTTGAAGTATATGCCTATAATCGAATACAAATTTTAAAATTCACCGCCAGCTCCTTTCACACATGTTTTACACATTCCTCAACAAAAGAAACAAAAGCTCGTTCTTTCTTCCGTCTGATTTTTGGAACGCGTTCCCGTTACAAGTTTCGTATCTAAAAAAAGGAACTCTTTCTCGTTACAGTTATAAAAATGGAATGTATCGTTACATATACGTGACATTTGTATTTTGCCGATTACCATATGTGGGATGCTAAGATTGAGGCTTTGACGAGTTGGTACATACTTCGCAATTAAAAACAGCGCGAAAAGACGAGGACCATACAAGGAAGTGACACGGACGCAGCGTCTTTTCGTGCTGTTTTCAATTCCGAACCGTATTTAGTTAGATCGAGGAAAGCTTTTTTTTTTTTTTTTTTTTATCTATTTTGTTAAACGGGAACATACGAATTTGAATGCCGTGATAGAAGGGCACCAGGAGAAGGAAACGAGCAGAAGCAGGGTTTCATTCTTTTATATATATTCACCTTTAAAAATTTCAACTTTTAACCATGTTCATGTTAGTAGTGGATGATTCCGACGAGACAAATGTGCTGTTGCCCCACATTGCACGAGCGCTTCACAAAAATCATCACACATTTCAATCTAACAAAGTCCCTTGTTCGAATTTAACAACAGTTGCTTCCCGATGTTGCTATCTGCAAGACGAGCAAGTGAAGAAGAGGGTAGGGCTTTTGGGAGGTCAGTCTTCGAAACTACAATTCCTTCTTCGTGAAGGCTGGTTTTGTTATTCAGTTGGAGGGGTTGGGGACAAGGGAAGGAGGAATAATGAGAAATTGTTGTGGTATTTTGCAAGTTAACAATGTTCGGGACAGAAGGGTGCGTTCGATGTCTGGTAACCTGTTCTTTTGTTGTAACTGTGGGTCACTTTATGCAAGTTCCGTGGCGGCTGTTGTCAGTCAGCCTTACATTTCTCCGTGTATGAGGATTCGTGGAAGCAAAGAAAGTAGCTGAGTTTGAAACGTCACTCTTTTTGTGCTTTTTTCTTTGACTAAAGGTTTTGCTTTTTGTACCGCAGCTTCGGGCAGTGAAAAAAAGAATCAATGCCCCTAGCTCTCCTCTACCCAACTGTTACCAAGCGAGGACCACCCTAAATAAACCCTAGAATAAGTAGCCAAAAAGGTTAACGAGATCCACGCTCTCCGTGAAAATATTGTGTTTATGCTTCTAAACTTTTCCTCTAAGAAATAAAAAAAATATAAATGTTTTTCTAAATTAGTAAAAATAAATATAAATAAAAAAATATAAATTTCCAACACTAAACGAAAAAGAGGGACGCCGTTTTTTTTTCGTT